TATTTTGTTATTATATGTGTGTTGTTGTTACGCTGGTATTTTGGGGGAACTCACTAATCTTCATGCTTACAGTTGTGGATTTTGTTTTAGGTACTTCGGATGATCGTGGGAAGGCGAAGGCTTGATCGTGCACCTCCTCATATTTCATGTTGTGATTTCTAGGAGAACTCTGATGTTAAACTATTTTGAAAACAATTTGTACTAAATGGTGGTTTTTTGGATGTTTGAAAAAGTTTTAAATTATTGTGAATTTTATGGATGTTACAGGTAAACAAAAAACATTAAAGTGATAATCATGTATTTTACCTTAAAAGCGTATAAAAATCCACTTAGGTTGTACGCCATTTTTTGAAATTGTGAATTTTCTGTTAGCACTAGATGTATATGTTTGTCAACCTTATTGGATACAATGCATAATTGAGACGATAATTGATCCCAAATTGTCCCCCTACAAATATTTATGCCATAAAAAATACATAATTAATTTTGCAAAAAACTTTTAGTAATGATAATTATAAATTAACGACATGATACATGTTGAATTCATCAAGGTTGGATACCAAAGGGAAATAGTCGTATTTCATAGGCTGACGAGGCAACCGTCCATTGGAACCTTTCCCTAACAAATATATAAGACATACACAGATTGCATCCTCGTCTGATATGTCATTAAGCGATCCTTCAAACACATCAATGACATCTTTTAATTTCACGATGCCATTCTCCTTAACCATACAAAATTCATGGGATTGGAAGGCAATATCGGAGTCAGAGGCACCAAAATATTGACCAAACTAGAAGTCGGTGACAAGACAAAGTTATTTCTTCCTGAAATTCAGCTCGCACCCCTCTATCTCAAAAACTATTTTTTTCTACTTTGCTTCGAGGGTCTGTCACAACTTCTGTGCAAAATATGTAATGTATAAGTAAAGGATCCACCTCTGCCTCCACAAGAATATCTAACCACCTACCAAAAGAAGTTTTTCAGAACATAGTCTCGTGTGACGGTTTGTTCCTGAGTCTCGCAAGAATATCTGCACCAATTGCGGGTTTGCAAGATAATGTAATTGATGCATCAGAAATCTTGTCATGATGCAATTAAAACCCATTAAATTAATTTTAAGGCAATTAAAAAGTTTAAACGGTGATCCGGAACCAAATACGATGAACATGCCAATAATGTTATGCGCATTTCGGACATGTTTTCTGTGTTTCGGAGAAGTTCTTTGTATTCTGAACATTTCAGACATCTTCGAAATGTATTTTGTGTGTTCCGGAATACCAAATTTTGATGTATAATAGCCTAACAGAATAACTAAACTGGTTTTGGGTTGGTCATAAGCCCTAACACTAAATTAGCTAAAAATCGAACTTATACAACACTGCTCGGAACGTGTTCTTCGTATTCTGGATGTGTTCTTCCTGTTCCGGAGTAGCTATTTTACACTACTAATCTTAAAATTAAACAACTAAAAGTGTAGAAATAAAGAACTTACCTATAAAACTAGCAAATCATCATAATTGTGTGTCATATCTTCTTTGATTCTTTAACCTGAAATGTGTAGATATTTCCGAATCAAATCTCTTATGACCAGTTACTCCAGGTAAGCCGGAAAAAATGACTTAAAAGAGTAATATTTCTCACTCTGTACACATTTAGTCATTAATATTTTTTTTTGCACATTTAGTCTTTAATATTTTTTTGTTGCAAAATAAGTCTTTATTGTTTTTGTACACATTCAATACTTATGATTGATTTTTTTAGGTTTTTCTCACGACATCCTACGCAGGACAATCATTAATAAGGTGTTCGGGGTTGTTCATGTTTATGGCCACCGCCAGCGCGACCTTGGCTGCTTGGTTGTTTAGTTCTTGTGGTTTGACTTAGGTCTTGTATTCTAGACGTGACTTCTTCATACTATTACAAATTTTAATGATCTTATATCCATACGTTTGTATTTGAGTCTACTACAATTTTCTTTTAGATTACTCCCGTTAAAAAACAATATATTTTTAATTATGATTTTATAAAAAAAAATCATACATACATTCATAAAGAACGCATGGATATAAAAATCCTAAGTAAACATATATTACTTTTTAACGGGAGTAATCTAAACGACAATTGTAGTAGACTCAAATACGAACGTATGAATATAAAGATCGTTAAAATCTATGATCGTACGAAGAAGTTACGACGTTCAGTACACAAGAACTTAGCCAAACCACAAGAACTAAGCAATCAAGCAGCCGAGACCATGAATAGCCTCGACCATCTTATTAATGATTGTACCGAGTAGGATGTCGTGAGAAAAAACCTAAAAAAAAACCAATCATAAATATCGAATGTGTAGAAAAACAACAAAGACTTATTTTGAAAAAAAAAATATTAAGGACTAAATATGCAAAAAAGTATTAAGGACTAAATGTGTACAAAATGAGAAATATATAACTTTTTTAAATCATTTTTTCCAGCTTACCTGGAGTAGCCAGTCATAAGGACTAAATGTATACAGTTAAAAAAGTTTAAAGAGGTAAATGTGAACAAAAAAAAAACTCGGTGACCAAAAATATATAAATAAAAAAATATATTACCCTTTTAAGTCATTATTGTTTTTTAACTTTTACAAAATTTTAATTGACTTTGTCTAAATCCATTTTCATATGTTACCAAAGCCGCTGCCCTTTCTTTTGGTACCTATGGTATATGCTACATACTCAAATTCAGATTTTATACGTGCATTGAATTTGGGAGGGGAAGGAATAATCCAGACTGTTTTGATGAGAATGAAACATAAGTTTCTTTTTGGGATGTTTTCTTTATTAAATAAAACAATCATTTAGGTCCATGTGCATTATTCTCCACTCCAGAACATGCCTTCCAAAACAACCCTAAATCATCCCAATTTTTAAAATTTGTGGACTTCTTTTCTCGTAAAGACGGGAAAATTGAAGGGTTAAACGGATTGGATTATTAAGGTGGTGTTTGTTTTTTTGCAAAAGCTCTTCTTGACCTTTTATGTCTGCGCCGCGCAGACAACGCGTAGATGTTTGGTCTCGCAGACTGTTTGTTTTTTAAAAGACCGTAGACCTAAAAAGGTCTGCGCGTCCTCTTCTTGGCGCAGATATGGACCTATGTCTTCTAACATCTTCTAGCCTTTTCTTATCTCTTCCACAATATGTATTTAACTTTCAAAAAAGAAAAAATATTTTTTTTGTAATTTTTAGTGTCGTTTTTTATTTTTTTACTTTTGTCATCCTCCTTTCCTTTTATGTATTTATTTGTTACTTTATTTATTGTTTTTTTATATTATAATTATGTATTAACCCAAATGTTTATGTATATGATTATGTATATGTTTTTCTATTCAAATAATATATTTATCCAAATAATTGACATAGTTTTATAGATATTTTTATTTTTGTGCAATGTAAATAAATCCAATAAATTTTGTTTATGTTATTTAGGATAGAAAAAATATCATTGATATAATATCAAAAATTTTAATGAAGTTTTATTTTTCAGTTATCATAATTTATACCACATTAATAACTAAGTTCATTTAATTTTTTGATTATTGAATCCCAACATAGTTTTAGCCCTTCGAATCATCACATCATCGAATTTTGTATCGGTTTCAGTTTATTATTTTCGGTTTGTTGCGTTTTTATCAAAAAAAATTATCGATTCAGTTTTTGCTCACCCCAAACTATATTTGTAAATTAGTTGTATGTTTTATTTAGTCGTTGAAGTTATAGTTGATGAAAAATTTAGTTTTTTGTAATATTTTTATGTTTAAAAAAACCGGTATATCTAAATCTCAGTATATTTTAACAACATGTAGACGTTAAAAAACAAACAGTGTTCTTCTTGCAGACTGCATACATTTGGTCCACCTCTTCTACAGCAGAGGTTTGCAGATGTGATCCGCAGACTGCATACATTTTGTCTCCGAAAAAACAAACAACACCTAAGTAAAAGTAAATTTAATTAAAAACAAGAAACTTTTTAAATTGGGATGTTCTGTTATAGGGCGTGTTCGACACACAACTTTTGGGAGCTTCTGACTTCTAGCTTTTAAGAAAACATTAGTAAAAAAGAAAAAGTCTTGTTCGGCGACAGGAGCGTTTAGCTTTTAGCCTAAACAAAACGCTCCAAAATCAAAAGCTACATGGAGCAGCTTTCAACAAAATGCTCCAAAATCAAAAGCTACCCGCTACCCGCTAGTTTTGACGAACACACTCATAATCTTTTATTAAGAATGATTTACTATGTTGTGATCATTTGCACACTTTCGACGATATTCAAACTGTAATGTTAATTCGCCTCATGAAAAATAAATATAACCTCACATTGTTTTAAGTAAATGAAATGAAATGCCAATGTATGTAAGGTAGTTAATAGTATTTCATAGTTAATTAATATTAGTATATATTTTGCTGGGTTATTATTTAGCTTTAGTTGAATTCAAAAGTCTTCTATTTTATAATTGTTTAAAAGAGACTCAAACAAATCAAACCTCTAGATTAGTTGTCGGCTGGATTAGTTTCTAATCATTTGGCATGTTTGATTAATAATGGAAACTGATAGTGAATATACATAAAAGCTCATGAAATTTTTTTGTTTGAAGATGTTATAAAGTAGTAAAATTTTGATAGATACAAACTTAAGTTCATATATATAACTACTATATTAAATATTATTGAAAAAAAAACAGAAAAATGGTTCACTAATACATAGAAATTTATGTATTAAAAGAAAAAACATAAAGAATTACAACCTTAGGCCTGTACTTGGACACGTATCTATATATTCCACATTCTTAATATAACATTATCCGTATAATGACTAATAACCCACCTCATAAAACACATATAAAAAACCCTCAACGCCACCACTACATTCGATCCATCCATAATTGAGTTGATTAACTACAAAACAAAAGCTCAACGTCTATCCAGTTCCCTAAACCTTCAAACACTGTTTCTTGACGAAAAGCATGGGCGATCGAGATTTCCAACAAACACTTGGTGATTTGTTAGAAACTAAAAGCAAATGCATGAAAGATTCATCCAAAAATCTTTCGTGGAAGAAAGTTATGGAAGCTCAAGTCAAGAAAACATGGTTAGGAGGTTGGAAAACGAAGATCAGAAGATGCCCCACAAGGAATAATACTTTAAAGATGAGGAAGAGACAGAGGGTGAGGCGGGCGGGAAGTCACCGAGGATCAAGAAGGGCCACCACGATGGTGATAGAACGCAAGGTTCGAACGTTGAAGAAACTGATCCCAAACGGGGAATCATCGATCGGTTTGGATGGGCTGTTTATAGAGACTGCAGAATACATAACGAATTTACAAAGGAGAGTGAGAATCATGCAAGCCGTGGTAGATGCATTGTCCTGTGCCGAGTGAGTCCGACTGTTCATTCGATGTATGATCGCATGATTTTCTATAATTAATTAAAGATTCTTTCTATTTTATTGGTTTAGTTTCTTGTTAATTAAACAGATCTAATGGCGGATTATTGATGCCTTTTATCTTCTATTGTTGTTTTCTTTTTATTTATGGCCATAACACATTAATTACTCTTGGAGATGCAAATCATTTTATCAAGACCACAGTCGCAGATTTACTATTAAAAATTCGCCTCAAGGTTTCATGCAATGTGAAAGTTTCGATAATAGTTCTTACCATGCTTCTTCTTAAGAACAAATACTAGACTGGGGTGTTTACACCCACAAGCTACATGGCCTAGTGGTATTTGACGGAAAGATGTCTGGTTAAAGAAGACTGAAGGGTTCAATTCCCACTTGAAACAACGTGTGTGTAAATTTAGAAATAGAGTACGTAGAGTTGGCCGATAAAAGATTGATAAGGGTGTTTAGGCTAGGAATTGAATGAAATCGAACAAAAACTTTTTGTGCTAACTCATATAAAAAATGAATGGATATAATGACAATACCGGAGGGATAGAAGTTGATGGAAAGAAATGACTAAACTTATATTTAAAATGACTTATTCAAGAATCCTAATAAAAATCAGATACTATAAATCAGTGTTGTAAAAATTCCGACTAGGTCCCGATTAATCTTCGGTTAATCCTAGGCGCTACTTGACCGATTAGAGGGCGCCTAGCGATTAATCCCTGCATATACAATGAGTGAAGTAGTAGAACCTGATGAAATTTTAACACTTTGAAGAAGTTATATCTCAATAGAAACTATTTAATGTATGATTAGTATTGTATTAATCATATTAACCTATTTTGTTATGATATTAGTGGTATTTATGAACTTTTATATGATATTAGTCATATTTAATTTTTAAAAATTCAACAAATTAGCAATTAATGGTCCCCGATTAATCCCTTAATCCGAGTCCACCAACTAGCTAACGTCGAACGATTTTTACAACCTTGCTATAAACTCTTAGTAATATGAAAATAATGTCACAAGAACAGTAAACATGAAAACCAAGTAATTAATTCCATGCATAATGCATAGATGGAATTCAATTCACTTATATAGCAAACTCCTATTGAGATAAACTCCATTCTCAATGGTTTCCAAACCCCAAAAGTTAATAAAGTTGAAAAACACAAAAATGTACTAAGATCATTTCCAATCGTAACATTAAAAAAAACACCACCACAATGTGATTTTTCAACAAAATTCCGTTTCCAACTTCAACCACATACTAAAATATCACATCGAAAAATAAATTATATAAATAAAATAGTTTCTCAATTTCCTTTACAAGAAAGTAACGTTTTCGCGGATCAAAATATACCACTAGATTAGAAGCTTGTTGTAATGTCATTGGATTGGATGAACTTTAACATCCTTTTGTTACTTGCAGGGTTGTAAAAGTTGTTAGACAGGAGTCGAGTAGTTGAGTAGGGTCAAACGATTAATCGGTTTAGACGGTGATTAATCAACGACTAGGTAGTGACCTTTAATTGTATTATAATTTATTTTTGAAAAAATAAATATTACCTATATCTTAACAAAATTAATAAATATGTCAATATTTTATGGTTATTTACTTATTTTGTTAGGATATATATATTATATATATATATATATATATTATTATATATATATCTATATATATATATATATATATATTATATATATATATATAATCTAAAGTTTATTAAAAAAAATTAATGTATTTTAAGAAATAATTATTTGAAAATTTAAAATATTGAAATTTTGAAAATTTTGGTGTAATATTTGAAAATTTGAAAATTTTAAATTATAAAAATTGGAAATTCCGGCCACCTAGCTCCACCTAGGCTCGCCTAGACTGATGTTGACCGACTACGCCTAATTTGACCACCTTGCAAAAATCGTAGGCAGTCGATGTCCGTCTAGCGCCTAGGCGGCCACCTGGACCGCCATTTACAACACTGGTTGCTGGTTACTGTTCAAAAAGTCTGTTATTATTGTTTTATTTGCAGTACTATTGCATTATTTTGGACCGATATTTTCCCCAATTTTCCGGTCCATTAGAGTTTTTCCAAGAAGTTAAACTTGAAAATGATTTTTCATAACTGAATCGTTAAATTTCAACCAAATTGAATATTACAAGGTTCAACAGGAGGAGAGAATATACAAATTATTGGTTTAGAATAACCAGTAATTGTAATGCCTTGGATATAAAAATCCTTAAATCAGCTTTAATCAGACTTCAAGAACCTTTTCTAATCCTCAAACATTATCTCCACCTAAATATTTATGGCCCTTGTCAACAAAGACACTCAAGCATATGAGATTTTTCATTATTGTAGGAATAAATCGGAGATCGACTAAGGTCCAGATCATGGAATTCAACATCTTAAGAAGGATAGTAGAAATATGTCACACCCCCAAACCGGAACGACGGAAACGTTCGAGGGCGGAGGACGTCATGTACAGTGTCACAACAATTGAATAATAGTAATAAAAGCAACAACAACCACTATATTAATAGTATAGTGTTTACGTTACATTTGAATCATACACGATTGACTCCAAAAGTAATTAACAAGTAAAGACTCGAAGTTACTATGCTCCGTCTTCTTGAACCCGGCTCGTGTACCTGTCTGCTAATGTCCTGAGAATACAAGTAGGTTTTGAAAGAGTATCAGCATAAAGCTGGTGAGTTCATAATGTAACACCCATAAAATTTGAGCCAATTTAAAACTTTTTAAATCATTTAAAACTATTCATTTATTACAAATTAGTTTTCAAAATAGTTTAGCATCAGAGTTCCCAGAAATCATATTCATCAATCGAGGAAGTGTACGGTCACGCCTTTGCCTTCCCGCGGTCATCCGCTGTACCTGAAACAATAATCGATAAATGTAAGCTCGAAGGCTTAGTGAGTTACCCCCAAAATACCCATACACACAACAATACACATATAATAACAAACAACATACTATGGGTCCAATCATCCGTCGGGATGGAATACCCCAGGCCCCTCAACCATCGGGTTGGAATGCCAACGTACTACGAGTCCAATCATCCTCGGGATGGAATGCTCTCAGCCCACAACTATCGGGTTGGAATGCCCACACACTACACACATATCACATATACTATGGGTCCACTCATCCGACAGGATGGAATACCCCAGGCCCCTCAACCATCGGGTTGGAATGCCAACATACTATGGGTCCAATCAACCATCGGGTTGGAATACCCCAGGACCCTCAACCATCGGGTTGGAATGCCAACATACTACGAGTCCAATCATCCTCGGGATGGAATACTCACGGCCCACAACAAATCAAACATGTGCACCTACATCAGATAATCATGTAACAGACTATAGATATAACATACTAGGGTCCTATCATCCTCGGGATGGAATACCCCTCAACTACCAATCAATCATGTGCACACATAACATGTAATCTCCTATCAGCATACAGACAGTCAGACCAACTACAGGTCTCTAAGCACAAACAGTCGATTGGGTGACTCTGCCCTAAGCCCACAACCAAACAAGGAATAGGAAATGAGGCGGAGGTCACACAGCCCATTGCATGTCGGATGTTAATTTCATATTACCGTGGTGTACATACTAAGTCGTCACATAGTTACTAACCCTGTTGACTGTTTGTTAGGTATATTATTACGTGAATGAGTCGTTGTTTCCCATGTGAGTTCTTATAACCATAATGATGGACGAATACCAATACGACGTACTTCGGACGTCGAATACTGAAAAGACGTTTGTCACCCCCGGTTGACTGTAGCTAATAATCAGGGTGCGAGATTGTCAGTCCCGTGTAGATCTATACACAAACTCACAAACTGGGCTAAAAGGTAACAGAAACAAGCCTGACTTTCATTGATCGAGATGACTTATAGATAGAGATTCCGGGTTGTCACATCATCCCCCCGATAGAGGGAATTTCGTCCTGAAATTCGGATTTCCGAGTCATTGGTTAGGGATAAGAAAAGAAGTGGGTACTTTTGTTTCCATTTAACCCCCGCGTTATTCAGTGAATTCAGATCCTCTCTGGGTGTTTCAGCGGATCTTCACTGTTGTATCTGTTGTTCTAGTCTGTGAAGGGTGTGTACGTTTGACTTGCTCGTCTATGTTCATCCAACTGGTAGGATGTCCATTCGTAGTCCTGAGCAGCTTTTGTCCTGAAGTTCATGGTAGGACTTTTACTTGGTTCATCTATCATTGGCTTGCGTACACAAGTCATATATAATTAACATTGATAAGGCGGTCGGATGGGTGGCTCTGCCCCAGGTTCACAACCAGACAAGGAACAGGAGATAGGGCGGAAACACACATCCTAAGCCCGTAGAATCTTAATTATATACCACCCTCGCGCATACACGAAACGTTGATAGGATAACCGTATTCGTCCCTATCCTCTGAGCTTGAACTTGACTTGCTGCGCAATTGGTATCTTCCAAGTGATCTGCTGAAAATACTTAAGGAACGTTACAGGAGGATACCGTACTCCTCGCATGAGTACTTCGGAGGTTTGAAGCGAGAGACAATTCCGAGGTTCGTATCTAGCTTGTCGTTGTGGGTGACGAGAGTTTTGTTATTCGGTCGGTTTAAGGCAAAGGGTCTCCTCAGTAACACGTGAGTTCGGTATAACGTAGACTCAGTCAGACTAAGCGGAATGACATCGTAGGCTCGCGTGTTAGGTTAGTTGCGAAGGAGTTGTCATGTTATAACATCAGTGCATCTGTGTGTACGGTTTTAGTGTTTTCTGTTTTGATATTGTTATTACTACTGCGAATGTTTTGTGTTGTATTAAGTGTACTAACTGATAGATTGTTCTAGTGAGTGATGCTTGATATTATGATCCCTATCCAGTCTCTCTATAATCGCTTGGTGTCTACAATTCATATATAATTAAGATTGACAAGACAGTCGATTGAGTGATTCTGCCC